GGACACGGGGACATGGGGACACACGGACATGGGGATGCGGTGACATGGGGACATGAGGACACGGGGACACGGGGACACACGGACATGGGGATGCGGTGACATGGGGACATGAGGACACGGGGACATGGGGACACACGGACATGGGGATGCGGTGACATGGGGACATGAGGACACGGGGACATGGGGACACACGGACATGGGGATGCGGTGACATGGGGACATGAGGACACGGGGACACGGGGACACACGGACATGGGGATGCGGTGACATGGGGACATGAGGACACGGGGACATGGGGACACACGGACATGGGGATGCGGTGACATGGGGACATGAGGACACGGGGACATGGGGACACACGGACATGGGGACAGGCAGATATGGGGACTCAGTGCTATAGGGACACATGGACATGGGGATGTGGTGACATGGGGACATATGGACATGAGGACACGGGGCCATGGGGACAGGCAGATATGGGGACTCAGTGCTATAGGGACACATGGACATGGGGACATAGGGACACACAGATATGGGGACACGGTGACGTGGGGACATATGGACGTGAGGACACGGGGACATGGGGATGTGGTGACACAAAGACATGGGGACACAGGGACATGGGGATGCGGTGACACAAGGACATGGGGACAGGGAGACATGAGGACGTGGGGATGCGGTGACACAAGGCCACTGGGACACACGGACATGGGGATGCAGTGACATGGGGACATGGGGACACACAGAAATGGGGTTGTAGTGCCATGGGACACATGGACATGGTGACATAGGGACAGTCGGACATGGGGTTGCAGTGACATAGGGACGTGTGGACATGGGGGCATGTGGATGTGGGGATGCAGTGACGCAGGGACACATGGACACGCAGACATGGGGACACAGTGACTTGGGGACACAGGGACATGGGGACACAGGGACACAGGGACTCGGGGGCACAGGAACATGGGGACAGAGTGACATGGGGGCATGGGGCCATGCAGGCATGGGGCCGCAGTGGCATGGGGACAAGGGGACATGGGGACACATGGACATGGGAACACAGGGACACACGGACATGGGGATGCGGTGACGTGGGGACACGGGGACCCATGGGCACAGTGCCACAGGTACAAGCAGACACAGGTACCCATGGGCATGGGGACACAGGGACAGCGTGACACGCAGCGACGGCTGCATATGAACAGGGGTACATGGGGACACAGGGACATAGGTACCCGGTGACGCGGTGACGCGGTGACACCCACCAAGCCATGACAACAGCAACGTCCCCCCCACGGTGCCGTTCTGGAACGCGTCCCGGCATCGAGGTGGCAGCGCCTCGGTGACAGCACCTCCGTGGCACGGTGGCCCCGGGGACGCGGCCAT